GTTGGAAAACTCGGTTTGTTGTTTGGAAAAAATTGTGAATTGATTTTGAGTAACAATAAGAAATAAAAGTAAAGACTTGTTTTTGAATTTTTATTTAAGAGAAATAAAATAATAACAATGAGAATTGATTTTAAAAATATGAGAAAAATATTGTAGCTAGAGCGCACTCACCTTATGATCCCCACTTCTTACTTTGGATTGATTCACCATATTTATTCATATAATTACTCGGATAAATTATTATCTAAGAATATTTATTAATTAACCCCCAATTCCTTGCAAGGTTAACCCTTTAATCCCCAATTGGAACCCCAATTCCTTGCAATGTTCCTCATGGTATTAAGCAATGAACGCAATAATTTAAGCATCCGCAATTACATACACATCTATTCCTAGCATGCATACCAATTGTTGTCCTACCCCCTTTCAAGATCAAAACCCCAATATTCCTATCTAGGGTTCTAACCCTCAAACTATTCCCAACTATCAGATTGATCAGTTCTAATAAAGAAAATAGAAAATACGCACAAGGTAGAGACAAAGATAATTATATAAATGAATAAAACTAAATCAATCCATCATAACAAGGGTTCACATAGGGCTCGTGACCCTAACTACAATAAAAGAGAACTAGCCAAGCATAATTATGGCTAAAAATTCAATATTCGATAAAAGCATAAAATTACAGAGAAATAGATGAAGAAGAAAATTATTGAAGAATCCTCCTGAGCTCTGCCGCCGGCTTCCTCCTGAATGGAATGAGATATCCCTAGGGTTCTGTCAAGAGGATATATTTATAAACCTCTTTTTCCTCTTCCAAAAATACCCTCGTAACAACACGGTACAATTTCCCGCAACCCGGCGTCAGTTGGCGCCGGTTTGGCGCATGTTTGCGCCACGCTTCTGTCCAATTCAGAAAAGTCGAAACAAAATTCACATAAAGTGGCGCTAGTTGGCGCCACTTACCTTCAATATTGGCGCCACTTAGCTTCATTTTGGCGCCACTTTGCTTCATGGCGCCACTTAGCATCATTTTGGCGCTAAGTGGCGCCAAGTCACTGCCATTTATACTATGCAACATTTCCAATCCGGCGCTGGTCTGTGTCAACAGGCTTTTATAATTTTCACTTCTTTTTCTTGTAAAAACACAATCAATAGGTGAGAAATATAATTGAAAAGAAAGAATCAATATAATTAGCAAATATGTATTTAAATTGCTCTCTTATAACCCAATTTTTATCAATTTTAACACAGAAAATCACACTTGCCAGAGGCACATCACTTGGGCTGGAGGTTGGAAACACATCATTATTGAAAGTGATTCAAGTTCCGTTATCACTTTGCTCACCAAACATGGAGGAGCAGTTCAAGAGCTACAACTGGTGGCTCGAATTCGAACATGGTTACATAAAAATTGGGAGGTTCACTTATGCCACACATACAAAGAAGTTAATGCTTGTGGAGACTGACTTTCAAAGTTTCCACTCGATAACCATATGGAGGAGAATTTGTGTATTTTCCCAAATCCACCTCCTCGTATTCGTCTTTTGTTTTTTGCTGATTTCATTTCTTCTTGTAAGTTTCATAATGTTTTGTTGTCTTAGCTTTTTGTGGGGTGTTTAACCCCTACAGACTACCAACAAAAATAGGCTAATAGTATGGTTACCATAAGGGGGTGTTTGGTTCAAGTTTTTGGAGAGGATTACCGGTAATCTTTCTTTGGTAAATGTAATTACCACGTTTGGTAGAAGGAATAAATTACGATTCCCGGATATCTAAGGATTACCGGTAATTTGATTTATAAAGAAAAGTCACTATTCAGATTACCAAAAATAATATGGTAATTCGGAATACCAATTAGAATACCAAGTAAAGAGAAAGCACAACAATAAATTTTGAGACAAAAATACTCCAATACACATAAAAATCTAGACCCAATCTATCAATTACAAAAATAAAAATTGTTTGGGGTTATTTTTGTAAAATAACCTCATATTCCAAGTCATATTTCGTTCTAAACCAAATATGGAATAAGTAATTTTTACCCAATATTCCCGGTAATCTTTTGGCGAACCAAATACATCTTTCGTAAGATTCCAAGTAAACTCAATTTCTACTGAATTCCCATTAATCATGATTCCCGGTCATCAAAAAATTTCTCTTGTACCAAACACACCCCGAGGAAAAAGTTCAAAAACTCCTTTTTATAGTTTCTCTTAGAATCACATACATTTTTTATGGTTATTTATTTTTCATTTACTCCCCGATGGGTGTTTCCAACCAATCCACCTTCTAACCTTGTTAAAAATAAATTAATTTTGCCATTATAAAAAGAACCATTATAGAAATAAGAATTTTGTACTGCAGTTTTATTTTATTTATCCAACTCTGATTGTTTTCTAAAATTTATACTAAACTATCAAAAAAAATTTCACCCCAACGATGTTAAGAGAAAAATTACAACAAAAGTAACAAATTAGCAACTAATTTCGATCTTCCAATAAAACACTATTCACAACATTATTAACAAGAATGAACGTTTAACTTAAAACTATTACTTTTCTTCGTACAATTTTTTATATCTTTAATAAAATTGACTTGACTTGAGTTTGATAAATGTATTAATATCTTAAATTTAATAAATAAAATTAAATATTATTTAATTAATCAATTTATATATAATATATTTTTATTCTGGTTTCAAAAATTAAAATAAAAAAATGTGAGCTAGAGATAGGTAATTAAGAAAAAAATATGTTGGAAAAAATACTAATGTATTAAGGAGTAGATTGATTTATTGATGTTCAGTACTCACTAACTTTACGTTGAGCAAATACCTACAGATGAGAAGTGAATTGATTACCAATAAAACAAAAAAATCTAGAAAAATTCAAATAAATGAGGAGCCGATTTAGTTAAGATAAAAAAAGTTCAATTTAAGTTAAATTCTACATTTTGATGGAGTTAAGAGTTTGAACATGTAATATATGTTTGATTATGTCTTAGTATTATAATAAATTAACAATATATAATTTATTGTGAAGTTGGATAAAAAAAAGTATTACACTATGAAATTTTCATCCCAAGAAGTTGAAAAAGGTAAGTAGGAATATAGTAAATCAATAATAAGTAGTCTGGTAGTAATTTTTTTATAGGGTTAAAATGGTCAATTTAATTTAATTTTTAACAGAGTTAGATGGAAAAAAATAATAAAATAATAATAATGAGAGAGTAAATGATTATAAGAGAAACTATAGGAGAGTTTTTATAAAATAAATTAACACATAGAGCACATGTGAATATGTTATCGCTCTCTCCCACTAAAAATTTCAAATATCATATTTTACATGTCAAATTTCAAATTTTTAACTTTAAAAAAAAATTGGCTACCATCATGTAAAATTAAAGTATATATAATTTTGTTCTCCTTTACAAATATTTCTGGATTCGTTGCTGATTGCTAAATAGATGATACAAAAAGCATATTTGGTTTTAACCAGTGTTTTAAAACTCCACCCATCTCTTGGGTTGACCCGGATCAATCCTGACCCCTCCCATCTGAGAGTTGGGTCACAAGTTGGACCTTATATGCACATCGACCCCTCCGACCCCCAAAATCCGGCTGAGTTTCAGTGACTCCCGGGTCAGAGGGGTCAAAGGAGGTCACTGCATATTTTTTTTTTAAGGAAAATTCTATGAAACAACGTCGTTTTATTAAAAAAATAAAATAAAAATATTTGCAAACCTAAATCTAATCGTTCTCTTCTCTCCCAATGACCTAAACTTGTGGTATCTTGATACTTTGGTATCATTAGAATATGAGTTTTGTACTTTGGTATCTTGATACTTTAATTAGGTTGTCTAATATTGACTTGTGATTATAATTGATGAATTATATTAAATATATTTTGAATCTTTAATGATTGATGATTTATTTTTTAATATTTTCATATAGGATATATATATTTATATTTTTTTAATATATAAAACCGGGTCAACATAGTAACCCCCGGTTGAACCCGCAACCCCTGACCTCGGCCGGGACGATGGCAGAGCCGGATTTTTAAATAATAGTTTTAACAGAACTAGTAGTGACATCCCTAATATAAACACTTAAATATAGGAATATTCAAGAATATAATTAATTTTTAATCAGCCGTTTATAATGTTTTATATATTAATTAATTAATTTTATTTAATATGCATCATTTGCTCATTATTTAAAAAATAAATAAAGTAAATATCAACTTTAAATTTTTTTACACATATATGCATATTAAATATGGGTATAAATTTATGTGCTACCCTTACATGAAAAAATGAGCCGTTAAATATATTCTACTGCAGAAGTATAAAGCCCGTTAAATATATTCTATTAATTATATGTTAAGTTTTAGTTTTTGGTTTACCATCACTATAAATATTATAAATTTATTCAACTTTAGACTCCTCATTTCAAAATTTATAATTTATTACATTTACATGTAAATTAAAAATGGGTTTTATTAATCTCATGTGACATAAGAGAAGCTCTCTTATGTCATAGAGATAGTTATGAGTGGGACTCACTCATTTAAAGAAAAAGAAAAAAAAGTAACACGAAAGTCGATGTATGTGTAGGAGAGAAAAATACTCTCCCATAAAATAATATTTTCCCATTAAAAATATATTAAAACAAACCGAAACTGATTACCAAAAAAAAAAATAGAAACTGTACATTTGTTATAGGGTTTTATTAGTCTCATTTAACATAAGATAATTATCTTACGTTGAAGAGAAGAAATAAATGAGTCCCACTATTATAAAAAAAAAGAAAAGAAAAAGATAGGGTAAAAAATAAAAGTGAGAGAACATGAAATAAAAATTATCTGATGTAAAAAAGTGAGAGATCCATTAAGTAAAAACTGATTAAAGCAAGAATTAATGGTAACACCAGGAAGGACTTTGCGTGACGTGGCAATCGTGGATTGGTGAGTTGACGTGGACGCTGAGGCATGTGGGGGTGAAATCTCTGAAGCTGTTATCGTTGAGCGTGAACGAAGCAGCATTCGAATTGGTTCAGTGTAGGTTTAAGGAGATGAAGGCATTGTTCTTGATCCTGTTTTCTTTCACCTATGTCTTCGCCGAACACATCTTCCCTGCTCATATCGGTAAATTCAACTTCTATTTAGGGTTTTAAATTTCAATTATTCACTTTTGTAAGGTTTTCCAATCTCTAACAAAAATTTAAACAGGTAGTATTGGTGGTGGCAGCTCTCGCGAACCGAAATACAAGATTGAATTCCATCCTGAAGATTCCCCTTTTCACCCTGTAAGCTTTTGAATGTGTTTGTGTTCTTTAAATAATACTTCACCTTAGTTTTGGAAAGGAAATAGAAACTTTCATGGATTTACACTTTACTGCGAAATTTTTTGGAAAGGAAAGTTTTGAATGTGTTTTTATTCTATGAATAATACTTCACCCTGCAAGCTTTTATGTCTCTTGAACGTTTCAAATTGATTTCGTTTTAATTATTTGTCTTCAGCTTATTTGTGTGTTTATATGATTGGGAATAATATGTACGGTGTATTTTCATTATGCTGGTTCTGAATCCAAACTACGGCTGTACAAGTTTATCAAAGGTGTTGTAAAGAGATTGGAAATAAGAGTGGCTTGATCCTTCTTGCTATATTAAGTAGTTTAACAACTGTTGACTGACAGAGAAGACTGACAACTCAGTAACTCAGAATTTATGGGAGTGGCCTTCTAATGGTCATACTGTAACTTTCAAGTTCAATTTCTAAACCTCTAGACATAACTCTGAGTTTTTTTTTTTTTTTTATAAAGTCATAGTTAATTTTGGTTATCTTTATCCCATCATCTTCTGATAAGCACTTGTGATGCTTTATTTACAGGATGATGATCAGGAATCTATAGTCATGCCAGATAAAAATGGGGAGAAATTTATCTGTTACTTGCCTAAGGTGGAAAAGGAAAAAAGTGGAAAGCCTTTTATCCAGCACAATATTAGCAGCATGATTGTTGAAACTGAGAAAAGGATCAAACAGAAGACGCCAGATGAACTGCTAGAAGTATTAAAGGGTCCATGCTTTATCAGAGTTAGTATTTGCATCTCAGTATTTGTTTTAAATGGTCTTATATCAATTATTGGGTTTAGTGTTTCTCCTGTCACACGAGCCTGCAATCCCAAAACGTTATAGTTTTGGGATTTGGGGAAAAAGTATAGGGTGTTTTGGGAAAATTCACGTTGTATGCGAGAAGTAAAATTCCCAAAATCCCCAATATTTTTTTTCCTCGAAACCCCAAAATTACGTTATTTTAGGGTTGCAGGATGTCAGAATACCCACCTTCATTTGTTATTTGCTTTATGGTATAATTGAGGAATGGGTTTCCATTCCTATATGGGTGTCCATTCTAGTATAGGTCTCCATGCTATTCTCCATACTGTCTCCATGATGTTCATTATTAAAGTGCTTGTACATTACTGATTGTATTCATTATAAATACCATATAAGCTTAGAGAAATCTCTAAGCTATTCTATCATTCCTTTCTTCATGGTATCCAGAGCAAGGTTCATTCAGGAACCAAACTAAGACATCTTTTTCATTATTTCAAATCTGTCCTACCTATACACACCCCAAAACCAAAGGCAATCAAGATGGAAACACTCCCAGGCAATTCAGAAAAATCCGACGACCTGATCTGGAGCTCGCCGTCGGCAGAAACGCCTCCACGCGTCGCCACACTCAGAGTGCGTGACGCCCACGCGCAGGACAGTTCCGAGCACGCCGTGAAGTTCGCCGTGCTCGCCTCAGTCTCCTCTTTCTGTTCCAGTACTGTGTTGCTCTATTCTGGTTTGTTTCAATAGTGGATCATCCAAATCCACTTCTTATTGTTTGTTTTTCAATCATTTCTGCCTTGTTTTGTGCGATTTGGTTCTGATTTTACTTGTATTGGAGTAAATATGGCTTCAAATGATGATGATTCTTCTGGTCCCAAAACTCCTCTCTCACCTAAAGATCATGTTTCATCTGAAGTTACCAATCCGGTACGTCATGCTCCAGTTGCTTATGCTTTTTCAGGTTCACCAACAATTACATCTGAAAAGTTAAATAGTAAGAACTATTTAGCTTGGTCCTCTTCTGTTGAGCTGTGGTTTCTTGGTCAATGTCTCTCAGACCATCTTGAAAAGTCAGTTTCTGATATTCCTCCTATAGAGAAATGACAATGGGAAAGGTTTGATTATCAGTTATGTGCCTTACTATGGCAATCTGTGGAACCCACAATTTTGATTAATTTTCGCACTTTTAAAACATGTGTCACTTTTTGGAATAAAGCTCGCAGCTTATTTGCTAATGATAATCGAAGACTGTATGATGCAGCCCAGAAATTAGCTTCTCTTCACCAAGATAGTCATGATATGACAAGTTTTGTTGCTCAGGCACAAGCAGCAGTGGAAGAACTAAAAATGTTTTTACAGGCTGACAATCATCAAAGCTTGTTGGGAAAATTGGAAAATCTATATGTAGTCCTGGTATTGCGGCTATGCATCCTGATTTCAATCACATTCGAGATCAACTTTTGACTAGTCACGAAGTACCTACCATGGACTATCTTACCACTCGCCTCTTGAGGGTTCCCAATTCCACTACTTCAGACCCTTGTCCCAACATAATTGACACTTCAGCTTCCGCTTTAGTTACTAACTCTAGCTTTCGTGGAGGACGTGGAGGTCGTGGTGGACGAGGAGTTCGGGGAGGTCGTGGTGGTTGTGGTAATCGCAACAACAATCTTCACTGCACATACTGTAAACGATTAGGCCACACTCAGGAGACATGTTACTCTCTACATGGTTTCCCTGATAAATCTGTCAATCTCACTCAGTCTGAACCTAGTGTAGAAGAAGGGACGAGATTTAACATTTCTGGTGAGCAGTCATTTTCTCTTACAGAAAAGGAGTTTCAGGAATTTCTTCAGTTGAAAGCAGCAAAGCCAACCCAATCTTCTACTACCACTGTTGCTCATTCGGGTGACCCTACAGTTTGTATTTCTCATACGGGTAATAATTCCACACCCTGGATCCTTGATTCAGGTGCCTCTGACCATGTAGCTGGTAATCAGTCTCTCTTCTCTTCTCTTTCTTCACCTACTTGTCCTTGTTTTGTAACTTTAGCTGATGGTACCAAAGTATCTGTGCGAGACATTGGTGTTGTCTCACCCAATGCATCCATGTCATTAAATTCTACTTTATTTATACCTGGTTGTCCATTTAATTTAATTTCCTTGAGTCAGCTTACAAGATCACTGAAGTGTTCCGTAACCTTTTATTCTGATTCTTTTGTTATCCAGGACCGTGGTACGGGAAAGACGATTGGCATAGGACATGAATCACAAGGACTTTGTTACCTCCAATCAACCTCTCATGTGGCATGTGCTACTGTGGAATCTCCTAGTCTTCTCCATCACCGTCTTGGTCATCCCAGTTTATTAAAAATTAAAAAAATGGTCCCAGGTCTTGAGAATCTAAAGTCTTTCAGTTGTGAGTCATGCCAACTTGGCAAACATGTTCGGTCTTCCTTTCCTAGTAAGGTCAACAGTCAAACAACATCTAGTTTTTCTGTTATTCATTCTGATGTTTGGGTCCTAGTCGTGTTTCTACACCAACTGGTTTTAAATATTTTTTGACTTTCATTGATGATTTTTCTCGATGTACTTGGTTATTTTTAATGAAGGAACGTTCAGAGGTCTTTCCTATATTTCAATCCTTCTGCAGTGAGATTCATAATCAATTTGGCAAAACAATCAAAGTTTTACGTAGTGATAATGCCAAAGAATATTTCTCTGCTGACTTCTCATTGTTTATGTCATCTCATTGGATTTTGCATCAATCATCATGTTCGCATACCTCCCAAAAAAATGGAGTAGCCGAAAAAAAAATCGTCACCTTATTGAAACTACTCGTACATTGTTGTTGGATACTCATATGCCACTGCAATTTTGGGGGGATGCTGTCCTAACTGCTTGCTATTTTATTAATCGTATGCCTTCCTCTGCTATCAATCATCAAGTCCCTATTTAGGTGTTAGACCCTCAAATTCCCTTGTATACAGTTCTTCCTCGAGTATGTGGTTGTACTTGTTTTGTCCATGATCTATTTCCCAGGCGCGACAAGTTGTCCCCTCGTGCTATCAAATGTGTCTTTCTTGGTTATTCTCGATTGCAAAAAGGGTACCGTTGTTATTCTCCTCTCACTCGTCGTCAGTATATCTCTGCCAGTGTCACCTTTTTCGAAGACACACCTTACTTCACTTCAACCACTGATCCTATAGTAATCTCTGAGGCTTTACCGGTACCATACTTTGGTGGTCTCCCTTTGTCTTCTTTACAGGTACCTACAAATACTCAGCCTGATCATGAGAAACCCATCATTTCTCTGCCAGATCATGACCAGCTTGATCCTCCCCAACAACCAATCATCACTTACATGCGACGTTCCAAGGCAGCCATTCCTACAACCGAGGTAGTCACTGAGGATCCTTATACATCATGTCCTATCCCAACGGCTTTTCCTACTACGGACCTACCTTCCTCTACTGCACCTGCATCAACTCCCGGTAAGTCTGTCAGTGATTCTCCTATTGCTATTCGTAGAGGTAGTCGTACCACTCGTAATCCTCATCCAATTTATAACTTCTTGAGTTTTCACCGTTTGTCTCCGTCATATTATGCATTTGTATCTTCTGTGTCCTCTGTTCAGATTCCTAACACTGTTAATGAGGCTATTTCACACTCTGGTTGGAGGCAAGCTATGATTGATGAGATGACTGCCCTTGAGCACAGTGATACATGGGACTTGGTTCAACTTCCCCGAGAAAAAAAGGTTGTTGGATGTCGTTGGGTATATGCAGTTAAGGTAGGCTCTGATGGCAGTATTGATTGACTTAAAGCCCGTCTTGTTGCTAAAGGATACACTCAGACTTACAGTCTTGATTATAGTGAAACATTCTCTTCAGTGGCCAAAATGGCATCTGTTCGTCTCTTCCTGGCCATCGCCGCTATTGGGCAATGGCCTTTATATCAGCTAGGCATTAAGAATGACTTCCTTCATGGTGATTTAGATGAGGAGATTTATATGGAGCAACCAACTGGTTTTGTTGCTCAGGGGGAGTCTGGACTAGTTTGTAAGTTAAAACGGTCTCTTTATGGGTTGAAACAATCCCTCGAGCTTGGTTTGGCAAGTTCAGCACAGTTGTACAGAAATTTGGGTTATCTCGGAGTGAAGCTGACCATTCAGTTTTCTATCGTCACACTCCCTTTGGTCGATGTATTTATCTGGTGGTTTATGTTGATGATATAGTTATTATAGGTGATGATAATGAGGGTATTTTGCAGTTGAAGGAGCACTTGTTTCAACACTTTCAAACAAAAAATTTGGGACGACTCAAATACTTTCTCGGTCTTGATGTAGCTCAATCACAGAGTGGCATTGTGCTTTCACAGCGAAAATATGCTCTAGATATTTTGGAAGAGACTGGTTTAACAGATTGCAAGCCTGTTGACACTCCAATGGATCCAAATCACAAGTTATTACCAAATCAAGGAGAACTGTATTCAGATCCTAACAGATATAGAAGGTTAGTTGGTAAACTAAACTACCTTAGCTTAACTAGACCAGACATCTCCTTCCCGGTAAGCGTAGTAAGTCAATTTATGCAAGTTCCGTGTATTGAGCATTGGGATGCTGTGGTTCGAATCTTACGATATATTAAGAATGCTCCAGGAAAAGGATTGTTGTATGAAAATAAAGTTCATGCTCAGATTATGGGATACTCTGATGCTGATTGGGCTGGATCACCCAGTGACAGAAGATCAACTTCAGGATTTTGTGTATTTATTGATGGTAATCTAGTATCTTGGAAAAGTAAGAAACAAAATGTGATTGCAAGATCCAGTGCAGAAGCTGAATATCGTGCAATGGCAAATGTTACATGTGAACTCATATGGGTAAAACAATTACTTAAAGAGTTGAAGTTTGGAGATACTAATCAAATGAGACTTTACTGTGATAATCAAGCAGCATTGCATATTGCATCAAATCCCGTCTTCCATGAAAGGACTAAACATATTGAGATTGACTGCCATTTTATCAGAGAGAAAGTCCTTTCTAAAGAAATCCTCATTGAATTTGTTAACTCAAGCTATCAGCTTGCTGATATTCTTACTAAGTCACTGAGGGGACCAAGAATACAATTTATCTGTGACAAGCTTGGTGCATATGATATATATGCTCCAGCTTAAGGGGGAGTGTCAGAATACCCACCTTCATTTGTTATTTGCTTTATGGTATAATTGAGGAATGGGTTTCCATTCCTGTATGGGTGTCCATTCTAGTATAGGTCTCCATGCTGTCTCCATGCTATTCTCCATACTGTCTCCATGATGTTCATTATTAAAGTGCTTGTACATTACTGATTGTATTCATTATAAATACCATATAAGCTTTAGAGAATTCTCTAAGCTATTCTATCATTCCTTTCTTCACAGGAAATAACTTTATCTCTTTTGACAAGAGAAACACTTTTCCCGTAATTATTATTCAGGAAGTTTATGGTCTGATTGTTTGCTACTTCAGGAGTCTTTTTAATCTTATGGCTTCTATTCTAAGTCATTTTCTTGCATTGGCTATTGTGTTTGTGCAGCAAGAAGGTTGGTGGTCATATGAATTTTGTTATCAAAAAAAGTTGCGGCAACTACATTTGGAGGATGACAAGGTATCCTTTTGATTGCATTTAGTTTTGGCCCTTAATGGTCTTTCTGTAAACTTCTTTGTGCTTCATCCTTTGGTTAATAGTCAATCTGATGGATTTATGAGAGGAATCACATTCATGAATGAGTTTGAATAAATTCACCCAATGTTACATGATAAATTGGCTTCTGTTTTGTGGTAGTTGGGTCAGTATTCAGTTTGATCAACAACGTTATCATCTTTCCATAAAATTTTGAAACTACAAATTTGCCTAACAGAGTCAATATTGTTACCACTTTCCGGGATTTTGACTCTACCCTTTTATTCACTCATGTTATGAGAGAGAAAGACACAAAGCGCATCTGTATAAAATTGGTCAATACCAACACAAAACAAGGTGGTTTTCTCCACAATAAAATTTGTATTTTCTTTTCTTATAACAGGACTCTCTCTTGTTATTTAATAAAAGGAGAGGATCCAAATTCCTTGTTACCATCCTTGTGGTGATTATTGATAGTAGAAGTTAGTTATTGGTATAAATCTACTTTCAGAGCACCCCGTTTTTTCTTTATCTTTTTTGGTTAGTTCATCAATATTGAATGCTTTTAGCAGTTTTCATTTATATAATTGTGAATTTGTTTTAGGGTTTTATTAATCTCATGTTAAAGAAGATAAGTTATCTCATGTCATAGAGATAAACTTGTGGGCTCCACCACCTGAAAAATAAAAAAAAAATAAAAAAGGTGACACAGTTATCGAAGGGTGTATAGGAGAGAAATTTATCACATGTAACATAAGAGTAGTTTTTCCCTTTGTTTTATTATTATTGGAAACTTGTAAAATCATATATTCATGTATAATATTCAGTGTACTTTTTTATTTGTCACAGGTGGTCCAGGAGTTTGTCTTGGGAGTGTATGATCCTGAGGCTACAGCTGCATTTAACCAAAATCTTTCTGACATCTCTACATTGAAGGATCCCCGCTCAAAAGATGCATCTCAAAGGTACCTTCTATTAATGACTGTTACATAAGTATGAAGATGGGGTTAACTTGGAGAAATGGTTTCACATGATAAATGCTGTGATGAAAACAAGTAATTAAATAGTATAATATGTTCATTCAGGTATCATGCTCACCAATATACTAATGGAACCGTATGCGATCTTACAAATAAGCCACGAGAGACTGAGGTATGTAAAAACAGAAATCTGGTTCTTTTCCCTTCCTTCCCTCATCGTACTGATTTATTTTTATTACAGGTGAGGTTTGTATGCTCGGAACCCAGAGCAATGATTAGTTCAATCACAGAGATTTCCACTTGCAAGTATGCACTTACAATTCAATGCCCTACGTTATGCAAGCACCCGTAAGTCCTCTCTGTCTTTCAACCTTTCTGGAAGTTTTTGTCTCGCCAATATGTCTGCTATGTTATATATCATATGAATATGTGCCTACCATAGATTAATGCTTTTAATTTTTGTCCAGATTGTTTCAAGAGGAGAGACCAGTATGGCACACCATCGACTGTAATGCGCTTCCAAAGGATTACAAGGATGCCAAAGTGAGACAAGAAAACAGAAATATGGAGATTGTTATGGTCACAGATTCTGAAATTTATGATTCAGAACAATGATGTAAATATACACAAGGAGAATGGAAGGAAGCATTAGAGCAAGTTGTCAACATGTATTTTCCACATTGGCCTAAGAAATCATGTATTTTCTGCTATTGCTCTTTCCAAACAGTGCATAGACAATGTTTTTTAATCTTCATAAAATTAGATTTCCATAAAAATGTAGTTCATCTTTAAGAGGCCCTTGGAGCTTATGCAAGTTTTTTATTTTCTTCTTCGTCTCTTCCTCTTAGTACTATTATTATTATTTGGAAATAGGAGAGTTGTTGCATGTTCTTCAATTTATGTATCTACACTTTTACACATGATAATATAATTCAGATTCTGCATTTTTGTGTGTTATTATTACTTTCTTAGAAATATCAAATTTTAAAGAACCAGTAAAATGAAAGTGTAAAGTGTTCATTTCCCGATGGTGAGTCCGAAATCAATTAGAACGAGGCCGTTGCATGTTTTCCAAAGACATCGCTACATGGAATTAATATTATAAAAACTCCATGGAATGAGCGCGCATGTACTCAAGACATACATTTATTATCAATACCATCTTGCTATTTACATAAACCGATCATTATTCTTCTTCAAGATCATTTTCTTACTGGGAAGGAACCATATTCCCATAGATGCTTGTAGACTCCACCAATGCCAGGTACTCAGTTATGGCTTCGGCAGCAAGCTCCTTGTCAAACCTGCCCTCACCAGTATCAATTTTGGCTAGTATAGTATGTGAGTTCTGTGAAGCAGCTTTATAATAATAGTCTAATACATGATTTTTGCTATCAGAGATTGGCTAGAAGCAATATGACATTTTGTCCATGTTAGAAACGTATATTATGCAACGATATATGCCACAACATAAGTTATAAGTAGCATAAGCAATGACAAATAATAGCTACTAAAAAGTTCTTGATGTTACCTGCCAAAGATTAATTTTAAATCACAAAGAAGTACCGCTGCACACATACCAATACCAATAATACAATATTAAAATATCAATCAAAGTGAAATAATAAGCTTAACCAGTAATTTTGAGTTCTAGTTTCACAAAATAAAAGTCAACTGCATCACGCTCAATGAAGCCCATGCTCATAAGGTTTCATCTGGCACTTGCAGCTGCAACAAAACTGGGGGGGCACATAGAAGTAATGTCTGTTACGTCAAACTCTTCCGCTAAATTACATATTCTTCTTCCTTTTCTTTGAAAGAGAGAAAGAAGGGAAGGGGACATCGAAAAGCAAACAAAAACTAGTTATATCAGTCAATTTCAAAACATGTGAAGCCAAAGGATGCTCCATATCAAATATAGCGAATCAAGTTCAAATTTTATTTTAAATTCTACTATAATTCTTTTTTAATTATATCATTATACATAATTACAAGAAATTGCAATGCTATGCTATCTTATTATTTATTTTTAAGAAACATGACCTAAACATAAAACTGTTTGGTTTAAATTGTTTTTCATAAAAATATTTCTGCAGCAGATAAGTTATCTGCATTTACTACTAAAACGATGTCGTTTTGAGATTGAAAGATTAAAAAATTATAATTATAAGGACTATAATAACCCTGAAATAAATTAAAATTACAAAAACATCATAATTTTCGTCTCAAAACGAAATCGTATTCGGCTTACTGCAGAAAAAACGAACCCACCCATTGTTTTTATAATATTTGAACAAGAACATCAACTTCTATTTAAGGACAAAGAAAGTCATTAGAATCGATTCAGTGGCGAGGGACTTGAATAATTTTTATTATATTATGTATTCAATTTCCACCCTTGCATAAAAAAAAGAAAGAAAGACAATCTGCCCTTGTACTTACTTCCTAGAACACCAAGTATATCTGAACCCCACCACAAGTTTGGAAAATCCTAAGAGCTCCGAAGCTGGGGTCTGTGTAGTGTATGGGCCATCTATAGCCTAGTATAGTTGATGCCATTTATTGGGCCAATTAAAGGCCAACCCTTTATTGGTTAACCTAAACCTCTCCGGGTCATAATACCAATACCCTGATCCAGCAAAGGATCTATATAGGAAAAATATCATGGTCATGGTCATCACGGGTTGTTTTGCCTTTGAATGTCAGCAGGTCGGCGGAGAGATATTATTGGTCTGAATCATCTGAAAGATGCCCCCCAAAAAAATGCAGAGGTTGAAATTATAAAACAAAGGAAACGTGAATTAGGTAGAAGATGGTTGGAGAAGTAATTAGAGGTTGTTTTTGAGAGGAAACATAGACTATTGATACACGATAGCGAAGGCATTAACTCATGTGGTTTTTATGTTACTTGATTGAGCAGCAAATGTGTTTGTCTGAATCCACTGGTATGAGTTAGTCGGTAGTTGTCATTTCATTTCACAACGGAAGCCCACTGCTTTTATGGATAGATAGATACGTAGAGGGAGATCCTCCTCCTCATATTATTATCAATTGAAAATTAAAAAAAAAATTAAATTAGAAAAAAAGTGTCTTTTTTTTTCATATATAATTGAGTATAAATGCATGACTTCCTTTAAATTTTGGTCCGAACAATCAATTCACCGTTAATATCTCATGTCATATCAGTTGGAAGAAACCATTTTGAGGCCTTCATTTCTGTCAGCTCAAGCTAATGCATAAAACTTGCAACAAAATCTTGCACATGTTGAAAATCGATACACACATAAATAAAAAAATAAAAAAAAGGAGAGAAATTGACATAGTGATTTACCTTGACTGACTCAATATAAACTACGTCCAGCTTGTCAGTACCAAGGTTATTGAATCGCGTGCATCATTTGATCGATTCTTGTATCGTGTATCGTGAGTAAATTGTAAGATATAGAAATATAATAAAAAATAATTTAAAAATATATAATATAATTAATATCATATAAAATCAAATTCTAAAAAAGATCCAATAAGCAAAATACATAGTAACTAAAGTGCAACCCAATTATTCTCGTACTTATCAATCATTAAGACTAATTTTATTACTACTATCACTTTCAGCATCTATCAGTGACATAACTAATCCATCATCCTCTTCACTAAGATAGTCATTTGACTCATCCCTCATTTCTTGTTCAACAATCTGAGGTCCTCTTTCTTTATAATCTCTGAATGATTTTCAAAAATAAAATCCTTCTTCCTTATAGATCGAAGAGATTTTAAATATTTATTTAATTATTTTCTTTATTAATACAGATTTTTTAGTTTAAATCACAAATCAAATTTTTATTTTCTTTACCTTATTAATAATAATTTTTTAGATTTTTTGTAATTTAAATCACAAATCAAATATTTATTTATTTTTATATAAAAATTGCAAATTTTGATTTAATTTTAGAATCGTATGATACATGTATTGTATCATATCGTTCAATATAAACTCTTTTCTGATACTCTCCATGATACGTATCACTGATCTTGTGAATCGTATCGTATCATATGAATCATATCGTGTATCATACAATACTGATAACTATGATATGTACTATATTCATTCTCATCGTTACTCGATTTACAAGTAAATATAAATAGAATTTAGAAAATTATAATAACAGCTATTCATCGGCTTAGCCCAAACTATTAAGTAAAAGAAAATTATAATATATTAGAAGCTCACAATAGTACCAAGCCATACCAAATGGTGGTAGCTCAGTTGGTGCATGGGAGCTGAGCAGGTGGGGGTGAGGGCATGTGTTCGAACCTCCCCAGTACCACCTTTGGGAAGAGTTTAAAACCTTAATCCTGGACCCGCCCCGAATCGGACTAGTCGCGAAGCGATGAACTGATGGAATATTTCCAAAAAAACAATAGTACCAAGCCTTTACAGGGTTGGGGGCAGCGCCAGAGCTACTCTTCCTAAACTCTTGTCTCAATTATCTTTCTGCTGGCCCTGTTAATAAGAACTTTCATCAACATGCAAAATATAAGTCATACTCAACGGAACCAACTATGGCTGGGGCTTTGATGAAAATCGAAGTAGATAGCGTTTTGCGTAGATCAAACCAGTTGAAAGGAATTATAATTATTATTTTATGTAACAAACTATATGGTTTGTAACAAAAAAATACACAAACTATATGGTTTGTAACAAAACAAAACAAAAAACTATATGGTTTCACTTATATAAATTAAGCATTGTTATTAAATCAAATTTGGTTTTTAATAGTAAGCAACATATTATCAATGGGATCACGATATTAACCTAATAAAATACAAGTTAAAGTTTTTTTTTTGTTTTTTTCAATTTCTTATATGCGTTGTTATTAATAATTAAAGTGGGCAGGTATAATATTTAAAAGCGGATCATTTGGACTTTTCTGATTGATTATGATAGATAGGCAATAAGGGTAGTAGGTCACCAAATTGGTTCGGATTGAGCAATTTCGGGGCCCAATGCCTTTAAACCCAATTCACTATCCGCTTTGTCCGGCTACTGTCGCAATCTAACATGGTTGAGCTCCATAAAAACAGCCGCATATTTTAATATCGTGTTTACTTCATTTTTGTTTGATTTGACCCTGTCGCAACCAAGTGTTTAAACTTTAAGGTTATTATTATAATTTTATTACCAAAAAAAAAAAAAAATTACCGAATCATAATTACGGAAGAATTATGCGCCCATCTATATCTATGGATGTAGGAGGATACCAGAATCAGATATATGATAGAATTATGGTCGTTCATCCCAAATTTCATTCTATTTTCTCATTTTATTCTGGTGCCTAAATAAATCGTAAATAATAATTAATACTCTAATAATTAAGATTGTATATAATATAATTATTGTGATTTGTTTGGCATAAATTTTCAAAATCTTTATAAATTTAAAAGCATTAAATTTATTATTTTTAACAAAAAATCAAATATTTGACAAAGTTTGAGAATTTAAGAGTATGTATGATAAAGTTCACAAAAATTTATTTCTTTATTTTAGTCTGCGGAACAGAAATGCTTAGGAATAACATTTGATAAAATCAATTTATTATTATTATTATTATTATTATTATTATTTGGACACCATAGAGAAAACAAAGCGAAAACTATATAGGGCTCCCCTAAGATCGCTACTCAAAAGCGTCATACACCCAGGTGGTGGTTCCTCCAACTGAACCAATTTATTTTTATATTCTAGAAAATGAACCAATCTTTCATGAACACAAACTAACAAAAATTCAAAACAAATTTTTTTATTTAATGGCACACTATTTATTAAATACAGAAATCGTAGAATGTGTTATCAATATTAAATGTACACTCTCTTTGAGCAAGGAAATAAGTTGTGTTATCAAACATTTTTCTACTCTGAAATTCTTCCTTTGTATAGAAATAAATAAAGTATTTCTTTTCAAAAACAATTCAAACTTCTTTTGATTTCTCACACTTTGGATCTTTTGAAAATAAAATATTAGTTGATTATATTAATTAATCACCAAAAAAATAATTACAATCATAGCACAAGAATGATTATGTTACAAATATAACTTTGCATTCAAATATTTATGGTCTATGCACCATATCACTCATCTAACTTAAATTATATAAAATATTTGAAATTTACAAAAAAAAAAAAAAAAAAAAAACATCAACGTGTCATTATTCACAATAAATTTAACGATTTTAAATTTAAAACATTTCAAATTTAAATAAAAATTATATATGATGCTAATTATTATTTACATCAATATATTGACTATCAATTTTTAGAATAATAATATTTTTATTTGTAGTCTTACTTCTTATTTATAATATTAATTAATATTTACATAAAGTGAGTAGATATAAATAAAAATAAAATAAAATTTGAGACGGTTGTCACGTGGCCAGGTTACCCTTCCTTGTAGTTATATCAAAAGTTTTATTTATTGTTTGGAAAAAGTATTTGTTGTTTTAAAGTCAATGTCATTTTAAATAATAAAAAATTGTATTGTACTATATATATAATGGTTTTTTATACTCTTTTTTCTCTACAAAATTAAAAGAAAAGAGAAAGAAAAAGTATTATAGTGGAAAGAAAAGGTAAAAAATATTTAAATATATTTATTTCGTTCAAAATGACACAAAATTATATCTTATAAAATTCATACACTTTTCCTTTCTTCTTAATTCTTTTTTGGGATAGGTTATTCTGTCTACCATTTTTCTGTCTACCTTTGCCTACCACTCTCCAATACCGTTAGGTTTCCAAGACCATTAGATCAGGATTTCAATAGAAGAGAGAAATGATAAAGATAGTTGAGATTCTAATCTAACAGTATTGAAGAGTGATAGGTAAAAGTAGACAAAAAAATGGCAAAAAAATTAATTTAATGCTTTTTAATCAAATAATTACGCATTTATTACAGTTTTGGGAATAATTACGGATCTACTGCACAATTTGACGCCCCATGTGACGCCCAAAAAGGGCGTCACATGTGCAGCCCTATATATTCCCCTACCACTTATTCACTCTTCACACCTCTTCTCTCACTCTTCATATCTCTTCTCTACCAAAATTCCTGACATCATACATACATAATCATTTATCTTTAATTTAGTATTTTAATTTTATTTCTTATTCCCCTACCAAAATTCCTAACATCATACATACATACTCTTCATATTTCTTATTTCAATCCAAGGACAGAGCTTACGCCTCAAGTTCTCGTCAACCTTCCCCCGTAGAGTATGATCATGGATCCCTTTCAACTTCCTGCTCACCTCCGGGATGGGTTGATCCAGACCAAACTGCCGCATGCACCTATCCGGTTGACATGCCTCTGCAGTGTGGAAGTAAATAAGGGGTGTGACAGCAAGCCAAAGATACTGCTGTTATGGAGTCACGTCCAGCCATTGATAATCGAAATATGGTTGCCACACCACCTACACACAAAATGATAACGAATATATGGTGTTACAAAAAATATACATGCATGATGAAATAACAACATACTAAGTATCCACAACCTTACCTCATCTCTACATAGTGTATCCAAGGTTGCCCGATAATGGACAACCTCATGAGGCTTAAACTTTGCCACCGTATTAAATCTGTCATCACAAACATACATCATCAATCATCATCAAGGAAGTATACAGTTAGTATATATGATAAATCATTAGCGAAATCGAATGAATTTAATAAAGCATACCGGCATCCATAATGCGTGCCATGCTCTAGATGAGGAGGAAGGGGTGGAGCAATGGGTGGGAATCGTATCCATGCCCAAATCTGAAGAAGAATATGGCAACCACCCATGTCAGATCGACCGACATATGTACACTCGCACAAATTCCTGAACAAGTGTGCTAGAACCGCAGATCCCCAGCTGAAACGACCAATCTCATCAACTCCTCCCCCAAGCAACGGGACTAGCCGACAACTGATATTTCTACCTCCAGACTTGTCCTCCAGCAACCAACACCCCAGCATGCGGCCAATGTGCGCCTTTGTGAAATATATCTCGCGATCATGATCCCCGTCATGATCAGTCCACTGGGTATATAACTGATCCAAGAATGAGATGCGTAGGTCACCTGAATGATGAAACTCACTAGCCAGTGGCTCCGCGCCAAAAACAACAACACAAACAGCGGGCCAATCGTTGGATGTAGATCCGGTAACGACAATGTCGTCAGTAGGCAATCCCAATATGCCGGCCACATCCTGCAAGGTGATAGTCATCTCACCTTGGGTCATGTGGAAAGTATGTGTCTCTGGTCTCCACTTCTCGACCAGAGCACTAATTGATGGGGCATCAATCTGAAATAAATTATACAATTATCACATGTTAACAAATGGTATTGAATAATCACATAAATACAAAACACCATAAATTGCATACCTAGATATGTCGCATGCGGGCAACATGTATAAATTCAGCCTGTGTGAGGTAGTCTGTGACCACCTCTGGAATAGCGCCGGTAGGTGGCCCCCTTGTGGTCTCCCACGCCTGGTCTCAGTCTCCTCACATGTTTCGTATTCCACACTTTCTGTGAAATATGGCCACTTTGCGTCCTCTTACGAAGGACATCCCATCTATAAGGCCCAGGTATGATGTACATGCTAGGATCGGTAGGCTCTGGATCCGATGCAGAACCCGAAGATGATGATGAATCAGCCATGACCCTAAACTATATAATATAAAACACATACACATTTTATGTACAAATTAATTAAGCAATGCCCTAATTTATTATAAAAAATATTAAGCATAAACCCTACGTTTTTACTACAATCGTAATTAATGAAATAATATTAATACGTAGTACAGTAATTTATTGGTCAAATAATAATAATAAAACGTCGGACACAAATTAAAGCATATTGACATAATACTTAACCCTAAGTCACTAATAATTTCGTAAATATGTACTAATAATAACATCAACCAAAATTTACGAAGTCACTATCACTATTTTCTAAATCACTAATTAATACGCTAAACCCCAATGCATAATTAAATATTAATAATAATAACTACGTAACAAAAAAATTACTAAATCATTACAACATTCATAGCATGGTACAAAATTTCTAAGTGACTATTCTTATGTTCTAAGTCTCTAATATACTATAAATCCTAACATGTTCGCAAGGTAGCATTGTAATTTAAACGTATAAATAGCAGGTATTACGAACTTACCTAAATTGGTAGAGCTTCGCTACGAAAATTTCTGCGTTCGGTCGGTAGCACAATTTGTGGTTAGAGAAGGTTAGAGAGAGGTGAAATGGTAAAAATAGGGGTATTTATAGGGCTGCACATGTGACGCCTTATTTTGGCGGTGAGACGCCCAAAAGGGGCGTCACATTGTGCAGTAGATCCGTAATTATTCCCGAAACTGTAATGCGTAATTATTTTATTAAAAAACATTAAATTAATTTTTTTGCCCAAAAGAATAGTAGACAAAATAACATATCCCTTTTTTTTTACAATAAAACGGTCAAAATATCAAACTTTAAATATATATATATATATATATATATATATATATATATATATCATTGTTTTTCTTTATAAATCACAAATATTTTCTACGGGAGTCAATCTTTGATTAAGACTTTAAATTTTTTTCTAAAAAAAATCTAAGAGATACTCTCACCTGTATCGAACACTGCATCATTTGCTTATATATCATTGTTTCTAATTTCGAGAATTCGAATCTTTATCATATTAATTAGCTACCGCGCGTATCCACGCGTGTCCGTGACCTATATATATCCTTCCAAAAATGCCAAAAATCCCCACATATTCTTGGCTGTTTTCACTCTTATTCTCATCTCAACTACCATCCTTATTCCATTCAAATGAAATAAATAAATAAGAAACCAGTGCAAGCGGTCTCATAAACCGAAATAAATTGCCATTTACCCAACAAATTTATACACTGCCTCCCAATTTTCAATTCTTCATCTCCCAATATCGATACCTTATAAATCCGAATACCCACCTCAAACATTAATGTGCATTAGTTCCTAATAACTATATATATATATATACTCATTATAGCACAACCCCATCAACATCACTAATGGACTGGTTCTCCTGGTTATCCAGGACCAGCCTAGAACCATCCCTCATCTATGAATATGGCCTTGCCTTTGCACGCAATGAGCTTCAATTAGAAGATGCCAGCTACTTTAACCATGAGTTTCTTCAGAGCATGGGCATTTCAATTGCCAAACACAGGCTAGAAATTCTCAAGCTTGTCAAGAAGGAAGATGAAGCAGTGATAAACACAAAAAAGCTTTCTGGGGTTATCAAGAAGTGCCTGAGGAAGTGTTTCAGCAAGCTTGTTTTTTCTCAAGAAGAGGAAGTAAAGGAGATTCCACCAGAGCCACATTGGCACCAAGGGAATAAATGGAGAAGGGCATTGATGACAAGGCATGAGGAACTCAAAGGAGAAAAGGGCATGCAGAGAAGCAGAACCATAGCACTTTCAGGGCCTTTGGATGGAAGAATAATGCATGATCACAAGATGATGAATAATAACAAGGCATTGAAGTTGTCTGGTCCTCTTGATGGAAAAATGAATGAGAGAGTGATGTACTCAAATAGAAGTCCAATAGTAAGTAGGGGTCTTGATGGAAGGTTCATGGGCACAGCAAAGAGTCCAAGACTTTCTGGGCCAGTTGATGCAAGATCAATGGTTAATAATAGAAGTCCAAGGATACCTAGGCCTTTTTCTGATGAAAGGGTTGAGAGTCCAATTGGTTATAATAGTCCTTACAACAAGATAAGAGCTGATCCTGATTATGATGATGAGTATGCACTTTGGCCTACATTGTTTGAAGATCTTAAACCAACTTGATTATTTTATGTTTGTTTTCTTCTTGCGTGTGCTTGTTTAATATAAAAATGTAACGGGCAAGACTTGCTCTTTCTGATTATGGGTTTGAGTCTCGAAAATGGTTTTTTTTTTTTTTTTTATTTATTTAAATATAAGGATAATGCAACATATAATTGAGCCTGACGCTTACCATAACAAATTAGGAAGTCTTATCCACCAATTTTTTTTTTTTTACTGTGCTCTATGATGGCGAGTGACAGAAACGGTTTCTATACAATAATGACAACTAGCATATAAATTGCTTTCTTTGCTGCATTTTTTTTTTTTTCTCTCTTTTTCTCCGTCCACTTGAACGTTTGTTATGTTTCAACAACGTTTTAGTTGAATGCGGACATGAATACAAGGGTTGACACTTGACAGCACAGGCAAGGCCTTTTTATATCATCATATTAGTTAATTTATAAAATAACACAGCTCCAAATCTCCACGAGCAATCATTGATGTTGGTGTATTAGATACAATAATAGGTAGAGTTATAATTTCTTAGTGCAGCGCTTAATTCTGCTTTTCTTAAGTTCTCTTTTTGAGATTTAGGTTGTTTCTAAATATTTACCACCTATGACCAAAACATAAAGGATGAGAGTTCATATTTATAATAATAGGGTTTTATAAGAGTTATGTTATAGAAAAAGTGATTGTGTAATGTTATAGAGATTCGTTTTGCGTGCCGTAATTTTTTCTTTTTTCTTTTTTCTTCAAAAAATATGAGCCACAAAATATTGTGTGTGTAAGAAAATTTGTTGTGACATGTTAAATGACAAATGTAAATCCCCTGATAATAATGATGAAATGTTTTTAAGGATTTAGATCAAAGAATCTCGAGGTCAATCGATATCTATCAAGCCTTAAAGTAACATTTGGAAGACGTGTTGTGATGTGAATCTCCCGCGAAAATCATATGGCAGAAAGGGACCCGAGCCAAGTTCCAATTGGTTCAGCTATGAGTTATGACAGCTCACGCAAAGAAGTTGGCAAAGAAATTTCAATTTTCAGTAAGTTTATGATGACTATTTTAATTTTAATTGTTTTTTGTTTTATGTGTGTTTAATGTTGGTTTGTAATTAAGTACCTTTTTTTCAAAAGGGATTTGTTCTGCCTTAGGCAGATGTGTCCAATTGGGATTGGATGATTGATCTATGATTCAGGTGTCTTCTCTGGATATCTATGAATTAGGTATCTTGAAAACAGCAAATCACACACTATCTAATGGCCTTAGCCTTGGAAGAGGTGTGTGTGTACTGTCTAGATTGTGTAAATAGGTGAAAAAAGAATAGGTCATACCTGTAGCGTTTAGCTCCTATTTATAGTGTTTACCTGTGGGCCTGCGCTGACCGTGGGCCTTACTGATCATGGGCCTAATTCTGGTCCATAACAGTTGCCCCCCAGCCCGGTATGCTGAGTCTTCAGGATGCCGGGGTGTAAAGCCGAGTAACAGAGCCTTCGGGATGCCGGGGTGTAAAGGGTGCCTAGCCGATCGCAACATATCCTCCTTTTGCGGGCAATCATTACAACCCTCCACGTGGCCCTCTCATATCTATGCGACGTGCGCCATTACGCCTGCTCGAGCCGCTGGCATTTATTGCAACTGCCCCAGCGTCCTTTCAACTGTCTTTCCCTTCGAAGTTACCCTTTTACCCTTGACCTTTGGTTTCGCGGGTTTCGTCTATTTGATTTGTGTTTCTTCCTTTCTTACTTTCTTGCTTGCTGCATTACGCATTACGCGCTGAGAAACTTCCTCCAGCATTTCCTGCATTACGTTCCACAAGATCTCTTTCAGTTCGTCAGCTTCCCGTCGTTTGCTACCTCTCGCATCCTTCACTTGCACCAGGTATGTGCTTCAATCTACCTTATTTTTGTTCCTCTCTTGCTTTGATTTTCCTTTTGCTCGAACGTATGTTCGTCAGGGACGCATTTTCTGTTTCTGGGTATGCTTGTTTAGGCTACGCGTACTTAGGTATATACCCTTTAGGATACTTGGCTTGGGTATTTGACTGCGAGTTGCCTGTTGCTACTTTATTACCTTGCCCACCTGTTTATGCCTTGCTCTCCCCTTAATAGCATGAACGGGGAGAATTTGCGCGGTAGAGGGACGTCCACCTGCCCCCGTGTTTTTGGTCGTAGTGATGAGATTCTACAAGAGGAGGAAGAACAAGCCATACGGGAGGAGGATAGATATGTCCAGAGTCTCCCCCCCGGAGCGAGGTTTTAGTTGTATGGTATACCTCGGACTCAAGACGAAACGCAAGCCGCCCTACTTAGGAGCTATCGCGGCAGTAGAAGCAGAGGAAGTTCTCCATCCCGTCCTCCCACGCGAGGACGTCGCCAACGATCCGGCCTCATCCCGGCTGTTCCATCCCGACGTTCCAATCCAAATCTAGGTAGAGGCTTAGGTTCTGCCAATTCGGCTTATAACCCGGCTCCAAGCCTTACCCGGCTTCGCTTCAATCCACTTTGTGAAATAGTCAACCGCCACCACTAACCATTTAAGCTGGCCTTCAGCTACTGCGAATGGACCCAAGAGATCCATTCCCCATTTTTAAAACGGCCAGGGAGCCGTGATTATATTCAACTCCTCAGGGGGAGCCAACAGGTTCCTGCCGTGCCTCTGACATTGATCACACTTCTGTACGTGCTCCTTCGCATCGTAGACCATGGACGGCCAAAAGTATCCAGCTCGGAGAGCCTTCCGGGCCAACGCCTTACCCCCAACATGTTGCCCATTGATTCCCTCATGGATTTTCGCTAGAACATACTGGGCCCTATCCGAGTTCAAACACTTTAACAGAGGGGTGAAAATACCTTTCTTATAAAGTTGTCCCTCTATTATGGTGTATGCCGCATCTCGGATTAGCTTCTTAGCCTTTGCTCTCTCAACAGGAAAAGTTCCATTTTCGACGTACTCAATAATGGGAGTACGCCAATCATTCCCCTGGGAGATCTGCATGATGCACGTCGGAGCCGGGATACTTTGCTCAATCACGGTCCGGTGGTTTCCCCACCCCTTTGTACTTGCCAACTTGGATAATATGTCTGCTTTGTTGTTCTCACTTCTTGGAATGTGACTAACCTCTGCCTTTTCGAAGTCTGCCATTATTCGTCTTGCACGTTCAAGATACTTGGCCAGTAGGGGTCCTTTGACCTGGTAACTTCCTTCAATTTGTGAGGTGACCAACTGAGAATCACTGTAAACCTTCAATTTTCGGGCTCCGAGCTCTTGTGCCTGCAACAGCCCGGCTATGAGGGCCTCATACTCAGCCTGATTGTTGGAAGTCTCGAAGTCCATTTGCATAGAGTACTCAATTGCAACGCCATCAGGGTTTTCAATAATGACCCCGGCTCCGCTTCCTTTTGCATTAGAGGACCCATCAACATACACATGCCATGTATCCAGGCTAGCTGAATCTGCCGTTTGGACTGAAGTGAGCTCGCGAACAAAGTCGGCCAACGCCTGAGACTTGATCGCTTTACGGCTCTCGAAAGTTATGTCAAATTCCGATAACTCCACCGCCCAACTCATCATCCTTCCTGCCAAATCCGGCTTATGGAGTATTTGTCGGATCGGCATGTCAGATCTCACCAGGATCCTGTGTCCCTGAAAGTACGCTCGGAGCCTCCTTGCCGAGACTAGAAGAGCAAAAGCCACCTTTTCCAGTCGTTGATATCGAAGCTCGGCTCCTTGCAAGAGCCGACTCACGAAGTATATCGGTTGTTGACCCTCTGCATTCTCCTGCACCAGAACCGAACTCACTGCCACATCTCCAACGGATAAGTACAAAATTAAGGTTTTGAACTCCCTTGGCTTTGCTAGCACCGGGGGAGAAGCAAGTTGCCTCTTGATCTCCTGGAACGCAGCTTCGCATTCCGAGGTCCACCCGTACTGAGCTTCTTTCCTCAGCAGCTTAAAGAAAGGCAAGGTTGTCTCCGCTGACCGGGGTAGGAACCTCGTCAGGGAAGCCAACCTACCTGTTAACTGTTGTATCTCCTTCTTGCTTGTTGGCGCTGCCATACTTAGAACCGCCCCACACTTATCCGGATTCGCTTCTATCCCCCTATGCGTGAGCATAAATCCGAGGAATTTCCCTGCAAAGACCCCAAAGGCACATTTTACCGGGTTTAACCTGATATGATGCTGCCTGAGCTTATCGAAGGTCTGCTTTAAATCACGAACGTGTATTGGCATATCAACCGACTTCACTATCATGTCATCGATGTACACCTCAACGTTCCTGCCCAATTGATCAGAGAATACTCGATTCATCATTCGTTGATATTTTGCACCTGAATTTTTCAGCCCAAAAGGCATCACATTATAACAGTAATTTGCCTTTTCTGCGATGAAAGCAGTTTTCTCCTGATCCTCAAGATGCAGTGGAATTTGGTTATATCCCGAATAAGCATCCATGAAGGATAGCATTCGGAACCCGGAGGAATTATCAACCAACTGGTCGATGTTGGGCATTGGATATGCATCCTTAGGGCACACCTTATTCAGGTCAGTGTAATCTGTGCATACCCTCAACTTTCCATTTGGCTTCTTCACCATGACTACATTTGACAACCAGGTTGTGTATTGTATTTCCCTGATGAATCCGGCTTCTAGAAGTTCTTTCACATGATCCTCGAGCACCTGTTGACGCTCTGAGCTGAGCTTCCTTTTCTTCTGCGCCACTGGTTTTGAGCCGAGATATACAGCTAACCTGTGACAGCAGAATTCTGGATCCACCCCTGGAATATCGGAAGATTTCCAAGCAAAGACGTCATTATAACTCCTCAAACAGGAGGCCAGCTGAGCTTTTTCCTCATATGTCAATCCCTTTCCTATCTTCGTTGTTTGTCCTGGCGCTCCCACGGTTATCTCCTCTAACTCTCCGTCAGGTTCCGGCCTTGGCATCTGTGTTTCATCTCTCATATCCAATTCCACCATATTAACCGAGCTCCGCTTCGAAGATTGGCAACCACTCTGCTTAGTCGTGGCTACGTCTTTGGGATCTTGGTCCACCATCCGTACAGATCTGAAATAACAATCTCGAGACTCCTTCTGGTCCCCAGCTATGGTAAGCACCGTACCCTGCTTACCAATCATTTTTAACTTTTGATGCTTGGTTGAGACTAGCATGTCCCACGCATGAATTATAGGTCTTCCCAAAATCACATTGTATTCGGATGGAAAGTCAGCTACAATGAACCTCACCCTCTTGGATTTGTATGCCTCCTTAGTCCCCAATGTTAATCGGAGATCAATATAGCCCTTAGGAGTAGTGTTATGGCCATTGAACGCAATTAAAGCCGTGTTGCAAGCCTTCAAATCTTCTTCATCTAAATTCATCTTCTTAAATGCGTGCCATAGAATTATATCGGCACAACTTCCATTGTCCAAGAAAATCTTCCTAACTCTGCAATTGACCAATGTTCCTGTAATCACCAGCCCATCAACATGTCCTGGCACTACATCCTCGAGCTCCTTCTTTGTGAAGTATAACAGCGGCTGCTCTGATTCCTCTTCCTGCTTGAACTTGGGGCGCTCTCGAATTGAAAGCACCTCACGCAAATATTTACGTCGAGCATTCATGGTGTCACCACCACCGCCAAAAGCTCCACTGATCACGTTGCACTCAAACTCTGGCTCTTGGAATTCGTCGTCTTCTTTAATCGGCTTCTTACCTCGTCCTTCCTCGTTAAACTTCTTTTCTTTGGGCGAGCTTCCGAGCCGCCCTCCTCTCCTCTTCCTATTTCTCCATCCCTGCGTACAGATCAAATATTGCCCCAACTTCCCCTCTCTAATGTATTTCTCAATTGCATCTCTAAGATCCCAACATTCATCTGTTGTATGACCCGGCCCGTCGTGAAATGCGCAGTACCGGGTTCGATCCAAACCAGCCTGGTTTTGTAAAGGCCGAGGTCGCTCAACTTTCTTCATGTCGGTGAACGCGACCTCGCGCCATATTTGCGACCGAGAAGAGTTCAGGGGGCATATTTATCAAACCTTCCCCTAGCCTGCTGCCTATCATCCAGCCGTTTTCCTCGAAGGTCATTCATCCGTCGGCCCCCGAGCTTTTCTCCCTGACCAGGCTGTTGCCTTTGGTCCACATTTTCCCACTCCATCTGCTCGAGCTCCAGGTATTTTTTGGAGCGTGTGTTGAACTCAACTAAGGTCCAAGGTGGATCCTTATATATTGATTTAGCTAATCGGGATGTTCCGTGTAACCCGGCTATCACCAGGTGTAAATGAACGTTTTCTGGCAACCCGGGTACTTGGAGTGCGGCTAACTTGAATCGATCCAAGTACTTATGTAGTGTCTCTCCTGGCTGTTGCTTAGTTTTTCCCAACGCGAATTCTGACTTCGGCTGCTTCTTACTGGTGGCGAAATTTAGTAAGAACCGCCCACCAAACTCCTCAAAGGATTTGATGGATCCCGCTGGTAATGACGAGAACCACGTCTGGGCTGCACCGGTTAATGTAGTTGCAAAAAGCCTTATGATCAAGGTTCCTCTATCCCTTTGATGTACATAGCTGTATCAAAGGCATCCAAATGTACCTGCGGATCCTGTGTTCCGTCATACTTAATCAACTCGGATAAATTCAGATTTTCCGGGTATGGGGCTTCTACGATCTCATCGGCGAAGGGACTGTCATTGTACTGCCCCCTGTTGTATTTTCTTCGGTACACCCCGGTTACGTCATCTGGAGCCCGGGCGATGGGCCCCTGGCGGAGGATCTTGGCAAGGTGATGTGGGTCCATCGCACGCCGGGGTTGCTGGTTGTGTCCAGCGTTTCCCGGGCCCAGAGGGTTCCGTGGCTGTTGGCGTGAACCCGGTTGCGCTAGGGTTTGTGGGACGAACCCGGGTCCGGCATTAGCCCTTGCAGGATGGTGGGAGCGTTCCGGAATGTCCTGCTGGGGGTTCGCAGTTTGCAGATCCGTCACCACCTACGCGATGGCCCGCTCGGGGTCTGGGTTTGTTGCGCGCCACAGCCGATCTTCCAAATCTTGGATCTGTCTTGCATCCGCTTGCCGTTGCAGCTCACTACGCTGTTCCAATTCCTCCATCCTTCGAAGTACGGCTGCCATAGCTAAATTCGTCACTCGTGGATCCGGGGTTTCTGTCGTTGGGTCCTCAATTGGTTGCAACCCTGGGAGGTATGGGGCATCTGGGTTGACCGCAGGAGTTGATGCTGAATCTGAATGCACGTCACTAACGTGCACCACATCTAGATCTGGGTTTTGCGGCATCTGCTGCCTTGACTCCGCGGGACCCTCCATAACAGAAGGAGGAACCTGGAGGTTTGATGCGGTGGGTTGACGGAGACCACTCCTCGTTGTGTTATTTTAGTTAAAATTATTATATTTTACGGTGAAAAAAAAAGAAGAAATTATGATAAGAGATAGTGAGAGGTTTTTTAATTTAAATATTAAATAATAAATAATAATTTTAACTAAAATAACTATACTTTAAAAAGATAAATATTTTTTCCGATTTTTTGACTAAAAAGACTTAGTGCTAATCGAATTGTAATCAATTATAACTAAAACTTTCATTTTCTTATTTAGAAATAACTAATTTTATTGATTTCTAATCTTCTTATTAAAAGACACAGTAAAAGAAAGATCGAAATTGGTTATCCACAATAGAGAGGTTTTCCGTTATTCTTAATTGAAACTATGTTTGGGTAAGCTAACTAGGCTTGTTTGTGCCACATAGATTAGGACAATTAGGTTGTTGTCGTATTAAAGGTTGTGACACGAGGAGTTCTGCAATCTATCCATCCTAAACTTTAGTTGTTATATCCCATCCATGTGAGTTTCGTGTGGGATTCAAATTGTGTTGAAATGAGACAAAACATAATGCATAAATTTGGTTACATATTTAATGTATTTTAAAAAATAAAACAAAACTATACATAAAATTTTAAAAATAATACATTTTTATTCTTCTAAAAATAAATAAATTCAAAGATAACAAAACATAATCGTTCTCTCTTATTTCATTTCATTTTATCCATGCGTCAATCAATGCCTTAAATATTTTGGTGCCATGTTAATGTTAAATGTTTGAACCTCTACCAATCATATTTCCCTTGCGTCTCTTATGCAACAAAGAAATTATAATATGAAATTGCATGAAAAGTAAAAGGAGCAGGAGCATAAAATCCAATAAAGGGCCTAACACATGCAACATCATATCATGTATCCAATCTCACTTCTTAGTAGCTAGTATCATCTTTAAGCCTAACACACATACAAAAATAGGAATTGTCCATGCGAGATACCAAAATTTTGAACTTTATAACACTACACCTGCACAACTGGTATAGAATTGAACTAAGGATGATGTGTTTTATTCATACTTCAACTTTACTACTTTTTTAGTGACTTGAAGAGGCTTGAGGCAGCTTGAAAGAACCTCCAGAATAAAGCATTTGGTAAACGGGCTTAATTCTCAAAGTCAAGATAACACTCAAGATGATGCCCGCAGCACACACACCAGCAAGAATGAAAAATGTCAGTTTAAAGCAATCTGCACCTACGCATGAAGCACCAGAAGCATGTTGTTTTGCTGCCTCATTATCATATATATAACCTGCTAGCAGAGCTGAGAAAAGGGTTGCACCAAGTGGATTTCCCAAAGCCACGAAGTTGCTCAATACGCCAAAGTGCTTCAAACCAAAAAGCTCAGAAACAGTGGGGAGCATTGTGGAAATTTGCACACCATAACAGACACCAAGTAATGCAACTGCAATATAAAGGGTTCCATTGACAGCAAAGGCAAACAGAAGGTATACGATGACCATAATTGTCTGTGTGCATGTCATCCCGACTGTCCTTGGGATCGTTTTCGTCCTGAAAATTGTTAAAAGCCAGAATTACAATCTGTTGAATCAATTGAATGCAGAGACAGCTGGTAGTTAATACTGACATTCAATTCCAGGACAGGCTAAACAGTTGTGTCGCTTTGCAACCAGTTCAATTTGGGTTCAGAAGTTGAATTTTAGTTCCAAATAGATCCTTATTAACAAGGTTCAGTTGAATATGAAAAGTTTATTCTTCTATTAAGTTCATGTAATGCTCTAAAGCCATGTTCACACAGGAATGATTGTGAACAGATTTTATATGTGTCAATCACTCTGATATCTTCAGATTGTAACTGATATGAGCTTATGAATATATCTCAAATTTACTATGCATAAATAGATGTCACTTACCTGACAAAATATTCTGAAACAACTCCTCCACCGAGCCGGCCCACAAAATTGCAAAAACTGAAAATTCCCAGTAAGGTTGTGGTATCTTCCTCACCTTGTGCAATACCTATTTGGGCTAGATTGTTGAGAACAGTAACTCCAGTGCCAACACCAACAAAATAAACAAAACATAGCAACCAGAAATCAGCCTTTACTATTGCCTCAGTAAACTTAAAATCTTCCCCACGTTTAGGCCTTCTCTTCTTCTGCTTTACAGCTCCCTCACCCAAAGCAAGAAGCATAGCCACCTCAGATGAATCATCCTGATCATTAAAACTTCCAAGGTTTCCTGTTGACGAAGATGCTAGCAGTGGCTGTGTTTTATCTTTTTTGTCTTGGATGAGAGAGTCAGAAGATCCACATTGTAGCTCAGGTGAGTCTGAATTGGAAGCTCTCCTAGGAAACAGTGTCATCTTTGCAGGGATAGCAAGTGGTGCCATTAGAAGAAGAATCATCACAGCCACCAAAACATAGGAAACAGTTCCATTTATTGGAAAAACATTACCAAATATTGTAGTTGCAAGAAGATAGACACCCAGGACCACACTAGAACCTTGGATGAATAGAAAATGGCAATTTTCTGTAGAGTCTTCACCGGAAGCTGGGGTACAAGGCCTAACAAGAAACATCATACTGAAGCAAACAACAGGAATACCAATGGCAAGCAACAATAGGAACTTAGAAGAAGAATTATGAAGCACTATGCTGTAAATTTCAGTAAAAACTGCAGCACTAAGCCCCCCATAACCTTTCAGGATTCCTGCGACTGTGCCCCTACTAGCAGGGAAATTTCTCATGTTGGTTACAAGAACAGCAGTGGTTAACCATGCACTACTGTTGGCAGCAATAACTAGAGCAAACCAAAGCTGCAAAATGACATAAGAGTAAATGATAATTAGGAGTTTTCAGTCAAATTATGTTGGATATAAAATACATGAAAGATTGAACTCTTCAGTCTTCACTCCCATAGAGAAAATGTCCCCCCCTTCTCTCTCTTTTTTTTTTCCCCTTTTCATTTGGGACAACAGGGGCCTAAGAAACTAATCCATGCATGTGGGTGCGTATACATGTATACATATATTTCAGATAATTGTGTCATTAAAATTTTATTTCTTAGACAAAAGAGACGGTTATCATGAGATCTTTGAGCTTTTCTCAAGAATCAGCATAAGGTCCAATATTTATTTCGATACGAATAGGAAAAAGTAACCATAACATGTTCAGAAAGGAAAGCCGAAAATAAGGGAGTACAATTTGATTTCTTTAATCCAAGGTTTAGAACTGTCAAAATGTGTAATTGGATGAGAAAAAAAAAAGGTTGAATAATGAATTGAATTACTATGAATGGCAACTATAGTAATAAAAGATTACAATAATATGATATGATAGAATAATTATGTATTAAGGAATTAAAATAAAAATAAAAATAGGAATCTCCGTTTCAGACAAGTTTAATGGTATGATTTCCACTTCCTACAAACTCGTTGGGTCTGTCTCCTTCGATTTCCTTCTTCACTACAAACTACAATAAGGTTGTAACAGATCATGTTGTAGCAACGTGGACCAGATCGAATTCATGATGCCGAGTTAAATAAGCAACAAATCCATTCTTTTAAAAACAAAATTAGCAAATTTAATCAAATTTGCTCTTTAACAAATGAATACACTTTTAGAAACAAACAGATCAAATTAAAAAAAAAAAAAAAAAAAAAAAGATCAGAAAAGGAAAGGGTCTTTTTATGTAGAAGTAGAACTTACCAACAAGTAAGGAAGAGATTGGAGGGTTTCACTGATAGCGAGCCAGAGAATACCGTAGCCAATAAAAGAGGCTAAAGAACCGATCAAAAGAATGACCCAAGGTGAGAACTTGTTGCAGGCAATACCAGGAAGCAAGCCAACATTCTCGCCAATATCGTTAGCGACACCGAGGAGTGTTACCTGTCTCTGGTTGAAACCCAGAACGGATTTCAAAGAGTGAGAGTAAAGTGGGAAAGTGAAGGTGTTCCCTGAAGCAATCTGAACCCACACTGCTGCTCCCAATCCCACCCATGGTGGCCTGCTCCCTCCTTTCAGTGTCAACATTCAACGATTCGATTACCACTCACTCACTTTAACTCAACTCAACTCAACTCAACTCAACTCAACTCAACTCTCTCTCTCTCTGTCACTGAGTTATGTGTTGTTGAAGATGAAGAATTTGATAGAGTCTACTTGTGGTTGATTTATGACATTATTATATAGAGAGAGAGAGACACAGTGTGTGATTGTTAGAGAGAGACACAAGGTGTGATTGAGAGAGACAGGACATTTGCCGTTTGGATTCATGTTTTTTCATATATTTTTTTATAGGGTGCATATTTTCTTATGTTGTAGGATAATAGGAGAGAAAAGAAGTAGAGATAAGTTAAATGTGGATCCCACATTTTAAATTAAAAAAGAAAAGAAAAATTAATTGGCACGGAAAACGAATTTGTGTAGGAAAAAATTCTTATCTCATGTAGATGGAGATAATGATTTCCCTTTTTTATTTTTATTTCAATTCATTAATCAGGTGGGTTCGAGATATTTTTTTAATTAATTGAAAACATTCGTTCATTATTATCCATTCTTAATTTTACTTGTTAATTTTCTAGATTTTATTGCGTGATTTGACAATAAATATTTTAACCATTGACCAACTATACCAATAAGGTTGTGCGTGACAATTTTTTCGGAATTAATTTTATTTTAATTTTTGTTCTTCGGAATAGAAATAGATAAAAAACTCGTTTGGTAAAATTAATTTATTTTTTTGTTTCCGGGATGAACCGGTTCAATTTTTGTGCTGAGGAATAAAATAAAAAAATAAAATAAAAGAATAAAAAAATTTCTACTTTTTTTGTTCCCCGACACAAAATGAGAAACACTTATTTCTCTTAATCACTCTCTACCACTATCATCATCATCAACACCACCACCATCACCCCGACACGACTACCGCCACCATTGTCGCTGTTGACATTGTACCACCAATGTCGTCGTCACCACCACCACCACGACGAAGACGATGCCATCGACATCATACCACTACCACCACGACGATGTCATCGCCACCACCACCATCACCATGCCACTGTCATCACCACCACTACCACCACCGCCACTACCATCACCGTCACCAACCACCATCATCACATCAACAGCTGTCAACACCATCGCCACCACTACCATCACCATCACCACCACCATCATCCTGACATGATCACCGCTACCATCATTGTCGCCGTCGCCGTACCACCAGTGTCGTTGTCACCACCACCACGATGCCACGCCACCATCATTGCCGCCCTCGCCGTACCACCAGTGCCATTGTCACCACCACCACGATGCCACGCAACCATCACCACCATCCTGACATGACCATCGCCACCATCATTGCCGTTGTCGCCGTACCACCAGTGCTTTTGTCACCCCTATAACGATGACACTGCCACCATCAGCACCACCTCCATCCATCGCCACCATCACTATCACCATGTCACTGTTACCACCATTGTCACCACCATCATCGTAACCATTGTCGTCACCAACCACCACTACCATCGCCGCAGCCATAGTCGTCACCACCACCACCATCTCCACGCCACTTCCACTGCCACCAGCACCACCACCGTCACCAACCACCACCACCATCGTCGCAGCCACAGACGTCACCACCGTCGTGCCACCACCTATCGGTCTTCTATGTTTTAAGCAAGGTTTAGTTTCATTTGCACTAATAGATTGTCCTGCTGAGACATCGATTTGAATTGGAGCTTTTACAACTACAATATAAGATTTGTAGGTAAGTAAAATCATCTGGTAATCGATGTATAATATCTTTTTCTCATAATTGCTTCGCACATGGATCTATATAAGATACTGATAATGCATTCCAGTTAACATATTTTTTCAATTGTTTATTCTCTCCTCTAATATTGGAAAGACTAATTTATAAAAATAACAATGAGCAATTATTAATTTAACAAGATCCCCAGTCATTAGTTCAAGATATTATAGAAGATTCATATTCAACATATATTCCCAACTTTCTTTGAGAACTCATCTTTGTGTGTTGTGGTGGTGTAATTGAACATAAATCACACATCCCAAAATTATAAAATTAGAAATATTTGGCTCCTAACCATGAGCCAATTGTAATGGAGAGAATTTATCATAATTTGTTGGCATGATGCGTACAAATGATGCTACATACAAAATGTTGAGAATTATGCACCCTGTTCTTAATCGATACCTTAGCCCAAGCAATTTTAAGCACTCCGATCATGGTCTGAGAGGAAATGGTAAAAAAGGTTCTGGAGAGAGAAGATACCACTTAAGAAGTCCCCAATCGTTATTTTATTCATGGATGGAAAGCCTTCATTATATAAAATTACACTGCCAGTAGTCAACTTTCAAGTGACCTGTAGGGCTCCTCAAGGATGGGCTGGCTAAGCTTGCTCCAGGACAGGAGTGGTTGAAGAGAGGTACAACCTCTGTTCCATTATTTTATTGGATTCCCCCTTATCTATCATAGTCAGACTGGAGGCCGAAAGAAAATGATAGCCAAAAACCAGCCATAGGGGGTTCTTATCAGAAAAAGAAAAAGTACGAATTTGATCCGTAAATAGGAAACAAATCTAGCACTACAACTAGAAGAAAGAAAAACTAGAGTAGCCGGTAGGCGCCCCGTCGGATGTTTTCGTTGGATTGGTTTTTGAGACAAAAAATCGGATGTCCCTTTTGTTAGTATATGGGTGTCCTAGAGACAATCTTTTTGATTAAATAAGGACATAAGATGTTGACCTTTTTGTCGCAAATAAATAATAAGCACTCTTTATCTTGTTTCATATTTTGTCTCCATAATATTGTTAATATATTATGAATAAACTGGATAAACCCATTGGAATAGAACATGTATTTCTTGAGTATCTAGATCACAATTATGAGGATTCAAGATACCGCTCGTTTATTTCTAATTCTATGTTCCTAGTCTAGAGACACTGAGAATGGGGATCAGTGATCTCGGATAAGACTAGCACGACTTATCTACTTGTATTTGGATACAAGGTAAAGACCTCATCTGCTACAGATATAGAGATGTCTTAGCTAAAGTCGTGGGTGGACCTATAAGGGTATAGCTCGCACTGAACATACCCACAAAGAGACTCTATGAGGAAATCTCACAGAGAGTATCATTATAGTAGTCTCTTTATATTTAGGTATGTCATTCCTTAGACCAGAAGTTATTACCTAGACTGTGTTCTAGAAGGAACACTTTGACTGTATACCTCGTCTGCCTGAAACATGGAGACTCATAGGTACACTGTTGGGCTTGTCCTGAAAGAGCATAAGGCTAGGGTTATAAGCTGAAGGAATTCATCAAATCTCTGTGAGAGATTAGGTTATCTGTAAACCGGAGAAATCGGGATGACATTTACAAGGACTCGAGAATCTATGCATAGTAAAAGAGTTCATGAGATGATCTGCCGTTAGAGTCAGTAAATTGAAGATTTCCTATTTCGAATAAAGCTTACCCTAAACCGCAAGGGTTGATACATTTTCTTACCATAGGTTTAATGAGGAAGGTAACCGAGACGAAAGAAAATACATACGGCAACCAAATATGTGTAATAGGATGATTATGTCATTGACCTAACTAGCTCTGGGGCAGCAAAGCATTGCTAGTGCTCTGTGTTGTCATTAGATGGGTTGTAGGCTTATTGGGCCCAAGTCCATTTATGTCAGTGGCTATGTTGGGCCTAATGGGTCACACACTAACACCTTATTGTCATGATAATATAGCATTAAAGGTTTTGGGCCTAATAATGGTGGTTAGCCCAAGATGAAGTTTGGAAGCCCACCAAAAGGGAAAAAGGCGCATGAATCATGTAATAGGCTTGGATGGTCCAAGACATTAATAATTAATTTAATTAGTTAAATTAATTATCAAATATTTAAATTTTGAATTTTGAACTTGAATTTTGAAATTCGAAATTTGAATTTTGAATTTTGAATTTGAATTTTGAAATTTGAATTTTGAATTTAAATTTAGAATTTGAATTTTAAATTTAAATGTTTGAACGTTTGAATTTGAATTTGAATTGACTATGAAAAGTTGTTTCATAACAAAAGGATAATATAAGATCTTGTTGGAACAAATCCCAAGTATCAAGAGGAGATCTTTGGGCATCATCCAAGGCTGATTTGGGGCGCTGATTTTGGGGTCTTGTGATAGTCATAGGATCAACCAAATGAGCTCCAATCAGATTTGGTTTGTTGAGAGAATAAGTGAGTGAGTTGGCTCAAGTTTGAATGTAACTGCTCAACGTATCTGGACTGTTTTGAGGCTAAATGGGGATATGGCTGGCCATATGATGGTTGTTAAGTCAGATTTTTGTTGAGATATGCACTTGATATCATGAGGATATGATAGGAGGTTGTTGGTAAGATTTGATTTGCAACAACTCCATTCATTCCTCTCCTAATGTGCGCTACATAGGGCTGATTTTTGAGTGAAGAAATCAGATTTTTATTCACTCATTCTCTCATCTTCTTTGGTCATCCTTTTATGAGGTTTTTCTTAAGAGAGTTTTGAAAATTACCTAGCACTTTCTAAGTGAATTCCATGCGCCACTTTTGTGTTTTTCTTGCTGAAAATTCACTCAAGTAAACACCTTGAAACCTTGCCTTCTACCTTTCCATTAGGGACGCCTAGCTTGTCTCCCTTGGTGTTCATTGGTGGCCTTGAAGAAGAGTTCTTCCGTCTTGACAAAGGGTGGTGTGGATCAACATTAGAGGGCTTGTATCTTCAAGCCTCACCTTGATCATCTTCAAGTTTTGGAAAGCAAACAAGGTAACATCCATGTCCTAAAGCATGTTTCTTGATATGGTATGTGTAATTCCGCTTTGAAAATTTTGTTTTCATCCTCACATGCCTACGGCCTTCAAGGCCATATTCTTTCACCTTTATCAAGTGTTGTAGAGGAGACAGCTGATGGTGCTAAATGTGTACCCCTTTTATCAATCACACATTACGCAAGTGCATGTGTCATAAGTAATAAAGTGGATGTGTGAGTCCAGATATCGTTCCCACGAAAAAAACTATAAAGTTGGGATCAATGTGAAGCAATAAAAGTAACATAATGATTTGTAATTGGCTAATGTCTA